GCGGGGGCTCCCGTGAGGTCCAGGACCAAACACACACGGGCACGCGGGGCTCCCGTGAGGTCCAGGACCAAACACACATGGGCACGCGGGGCTCCCGTGACGTCCAGGACCAAACACACATGGGCATGCGGGCTCCCGTGAGGTCCAGGACCAAACACACACGGGCATGCGGGCTCCCGTGAGGTCCAGGACCAAACACACACGGGCAGGCGGGGCTCCCGTGAGGTCCAGGACCAAACACACATGGGCATGCGCGGCTCCCGTGAGGTCCAGGACCAAACACACACGGGCACGCGGGCTCCTGGGAGGTCCAGGACCAAACACACACGGGCACGCGGGCTCCCGGGAGGTCCAGGACCAAACACACACGGGCACGCGGGGCTCCCGTGAGGTCCAGGACCAAACACACACGGGCACGCGGGGCTCCCGTGAGGTCCAGGACCAAACACACACGGGCACGCGGGCTCCCGTGACGTCGAGGACCAAACACACACGGGCACGCGGGGCTCCCGTGACGTCCAGGACCAAACACACACGGGCACGCGGGGCTCCCGTGACGTCCAGGACCAAACACACACGGGCACGCGGGCTCCCGGGAGGTCCAGGACCAAACACACACGGGCACGCGGGGCTCCTGGGAGGTCCAGGACCAAACACACACGGGCACGCGGGCTCCTGGGAGGTCCAGGACCAAACACACACGGGCACGCGGGGCTCCCGTGACGTCCAGGACCAAACACACACGGGCACGCGGGCTCCCGTGAGGTCCAGGACCAAACACACACGGGCACGCGGGGCTCCCGTGACGTCCAGGACCAAACACACACGGGCACGCGGGCTCCCGTGAGGTCCAGGACCAAACACACACGGGCACGCGGGGCTCCCGTGACGTCCAGGACCAAACACACACGGGCACGCGGGCTCCCGTGAGGTCCAGGACCAAACACACATGGGCACGCGGGCTCCCGTGAGGTCCAGGACCAAACACACACGGGCATGCGGGCTCCCGTGAGGTCCAGGACCAAACACACACGGGCACGCGGGCTCCCGTGACGTCCAGGACCAAACACACACGGGCACGCGGGGCTCCCGTGAGGTCCAGGACCAAACACACACGGGCACGCGGGCTCCCGGGAGGTCCAGGACCAAACACACACGGGCACGCGGGCTCCCGTGAGGTCCAGGACCACAACATGCCCCAGGGGCGAGGCCGGCTGGGCCCCAGCCTCTGGCCTCCTGGCTGGCATGGGGTGGGGAGGGGCCTCGGTAGCTGCTCCCACCCCTCCCCCGCTTCCTGGAGAAGTGGTTGGGGTTGGGGGAGGGGCGAGCAGCTCAGGTTGCAGCCGGGCGCACCTGTCCAGGATAAATAAAGGCATTTCCCCTCCACCGCTGAGCCTCCTGAACCGCCTTCTCTGTGGGTCCTCAGCCCGAGACCCACAGAAGGAAGGAAGGCCTTGAGGGGTGGCTGCTGCCCTGAGCACATACTGTGGGGCCCGGGGCAGGAGGGGGTGGGGACAGAGCTGCCACCAGCCTGCAGGTGGCTGGGCTGGCCTTTCTCTAGGAGGAGCTGCAGCTGACAAGAGACAGGCCCCACTCAGTGCTCATCCCCTGGCCCCTCGCCAGAGGGGGAGGGGCAGGCTGGGCTCTGGACTGCCGGAGCTCCTCAGTGTGCCTGGGTCCGAGGCCCTGCCCTCGACCCCCCCGACTGCAGCGCAGGTGGGGGTGTAGGGGGAGGGAGCAGGCCACTGTCACCCAAGCGCCCACGGGCCCTGCGGGAAGCGAATCACAGCTGGAGTGGGAGTAGGGTGTCTGGTCCTCATCCCCTTGGGGAGAAGTTCCTGATGCAAAGGGGCCTGGAGAGCCCAGCAGGAAACCACAGCCCCAGCCGGACGGCAGGACTCAGCGTCTCAGGGCCTAGCCTGTCACACAGAGGCTGGGCGCCCCTGGCCAGGTGTCAGTGGCCCACACAGAGGCTGGGCGCCCCCGGCCAGGTGTCAGTGGCCCACACAGAGGCTGGGCGCCCCCGGCCAGGTGTCTGTCAGTGGCCCACACAGAGGCTGGGCGCCCCCGGCCAGGTGTCTGTCAGTGGCCCACACAGAGGCTGGGCGCCCCCGGCCAGGTGTCTGTCAGTGGCCCACACAGAGGCTGGGCGCCCCCCGGCCAGGTGTCAGTGGCCCACACAGAGGCTGGGCGCCCCCGGCCAGGTGTCAGTGGCCCACACAGAGGCTGGGCGCCCCCAGCCAGGTGTCTGTCAGTGGCCCACACAGAGGCTGGGCGCCCCCGGCCAGGTGTCAGTGGCCCACACAGAGGCTGGGCGCCCCCGGCCAGGTGTCTGTCAGTGGCCCACACAGAGGCTGGGCGCCCCCGGCCAGGTGTCAGTGGCCCACACAGAGGCTGGGCGCCCCCGGCCAGGTGTCTGTCAGTGGCCCACACAGAGGCTGGGCGCCCCCGGCCAGGTGTCAGTGGCCCACACAAGGCTGGGCGCCCCCGGCCAGGTGTCAGTGGCCCACACAAGGCTGGGCGCCCCGGCCAGGTGTCAGTGGCCCACACAGAGGCTGGGCGCCCCCGGCCAGGTGTCAGTGGCCCACACAGAGGCTGGGCGCCCCCGGCCAGGTGTCAGTGGCCCACACAGAGGCTGGGCGCCCCCGGCCAGGTGTCAGTGGCCCACACAAGGCTGGGCGCCCCCGGCCAGGTGTCAGTGGCCCACACCAGAGGCGGGGCGCCCCGGCCAGGTGTCTGTCAGTGGCCCACACAGAGGCTGGGCACCCCTGGCCAGGTGTCAGTGGCCCACACTCAGGCTGGGCGCCCCCGGCCAGGTGTCAGTGGCCCACACTCAGGCTGGGCGCCCCCGGCCAGGTGTCAGTGGCCCACACAGAGGCTGGATGCCCCAGGCGAGGCATCAGTGACCCCACCAAAGCAGCTACCGAGAGACTCCAAGCCCTGGGGAGGCCCCGAGGCCCAGTCCAGCTTGCTCCGTGGCTCTGGTGCGTTGGGGTGTGCCCCTCTAGCATGCAGAGACGCCACTATGCCCGACTCCTGATGCCTTGCCCGAGACGCGTTCTATTTTTACAAGTCCCCCTCGTCATCAGCTCCAGAACATCCCAGTGCACCCCCCCCCCCAGGACATTCTTCCTGCTGTCTAGCTTAAGTCTCTGTGCTGCAATGAAGCCCCGGGTTGGCCAGGCCAGGTGGCGCATAGACCCTGGGTGAGGTCATGGGCTATCCTGGGTGCCACTAACCAGGAGGCTACTGCCCGCCGGAGGGGATGGCAGGGAGCACCAGGAGGGGCTGGTGGAGCTGGGGCAGAGTTGGGCTCTGTCCCAGGTGTGGGTGGCCCGTGGACCTACGAGGGTGAGTGTAGACACCCTGCCTCATATAAGGGGGTGCAATCGGGGGGGTGGGGAGGGTGCAGGGTCCCGAGGCCTATTTGGGCTCAGATGCCCGCGTGTCACCATATCATGGAGCGGGATGTGTGTGTCTCTGGTTGTCCTTCTAGTAGGGGACCCTGTAGTCCCCAGGGCAGTGGGTCTGGAGGGCTGTGGATGCAGTTGGAACGAGCCAGCTCTCCAGGGGAAGGACGGAGGGCTACGGCCTTTGCCTGAGCTGGAGCCAGGCTAGCACCCCACCCAGAGAAATGCGGCCTCTAGGGCTGTACGAGCCTCCTACACACCCGAGTGGGGCTTCTCCTTGGGGTCCCTCCAAGTTCCCACATCAGATCCCACAACCAGGACAGCTCCTCCAGTGGGGGTCCCGGCTTCCTGCCCCCTCTGCCAAGCAACTTTCAGGCCTTCCCTGCACCCCTCTACCGCCCAGGCCCACGGAAAGTCTCTACCCTGGAGAAAAAAACATCTTCCAAGTGGCAGCAACCAACACGCGCCTGCCCACCCATCACCCTCCAGTGACAGCCGGGCCTCCGCCTGCCCCTCGTGCCCACACCGGGGCCTCACCCTCAGGCAGGGCTTGTCTGTGCCTCACACACCTCCCAGGCTACCCTGGGCCTCCGGGCCTTCAGCCCGGCTCGGCCAGACTTGTCGGCGAGTCCTTTTACTTGACAAGTGTTGCCTGAGCATCGTCTACATTCTAGGCCCTGGTGTGGGTCCCGGGGACATGGCCGCGGTTAAAACTAAGTTCTTTCAGCAGATCTGGTTTCTCTGCCCTCCGGGTGTCCATGTCCCCAGCAGCCAATAGCTACTCAGGCATTCTCCGATGTTCCGGGACATTCCGGGCAGGCGGTGCTGTTCCCTGACTGCGGACGCTGCAGGACACAGGTCACGTCCCCAGGCGAGCATGGGGTTAGACGTGAACGGGGCACACAGGCCTGCCTGGGGGGTGAGCAGGGGCTTAGGCAGGCGAGGGAAGAGGACCCCACCTCATGAGGCAGCCCGGGCCAGGTCCCTGCAGGCCCAGGAAGGTGGGAGGAGGGGCCTGTGATCTTGGGTCTGGGGTGGAGGGGGCTGGAGCCCGGGAACCAGCCGAATCCAGCCCTGAGCCCTGCCAGCCGAGGCCAGCTGTCGGTCCACCTACCGCTCCACCCTCCTGTTACCTGCCCCCTCCAGCTGGCAGTGCTCGCTCCCCAAAGCAGTCGCCCATTTCCAGGGAGCAGCTCCAGGCTTGGGGGCAATGGCGCCCACCCTGCCGAGGACGGGCCGAGGACGGGCTGAGGATGGGCCGAGGACGGGCCGAGGAAGGGCTGAGGATGGGCCGAGGATGGGCCGAGGACGGGCCGAGGACGGGCCGAGGAAGGGCTGAGGATGGCGTCATCCTCTGCCGGCCCTGAAAACCTGACATTTCCTGCAACAGGCCGGCCACTTCGAGTGGGCGGCCGAGACCTGGGGCCTCGGCTGGCAACATCCAGTTGGGTCCCATCCCAGCCCCCAACTGGGGATGGGGTGTGCTCTACCTTTCCAGAGCCTCGAGGAAGACAGACAGATGGACATACACACCCTCCTCTGAACATGCCGCCCGCAGGGCACCAGGCCGTCCGTGGGCAGCGCACTCACCCGGGAGATGGTGAGTGGCATGTTGAAGTCCTTGCCTCCCTGCAGACGGAAGCCCCAGGGCCCAGGCCCGGTCAGGGTCACGCTGTAAGACATGCCGGTGCTGAGAGCGGCGGCCCCTGTGGACGAGAAGAGAGGGTGGATGAGAGGCCCAGCCCGGACCTCCGCCCTGCCTGTCCCCGGCCGCGACCCCGCTTGCCTGCTCGTCCCCTGCTGCCACCGGCCAGGCGCTGCGGAGCTCCTGAGAGGCTCCTAAGAATAGCTGGGAGCAAATGCCATGGACACTGATATCTGCCCCTGCTGCGCCCATAAATGGACTGTAACCCTACACTGTGCCCGCCCGCAGGCCTCCCAGGCAGTCCACCGTGACTCACGCAGCTAACATAGCCCTGGGGGCGGGGGTCCGGCACCCAGCACCCCCAGGCCAGGTCAGTGATGAGCCCCCGCCGCCCTGCTCTCCTCCCCTTGCCCCCTCTGCCCCCTGGGGAGTCAGGACTCACCCTCCCCAGCCTCACCCACCGTCTTGCCCAGAAGCCAGTAGCTGAGCTTCGGGGCAGGGGCTCCGGGACTTGGGCTGTGGCTGCCCTGTGCCCTCTGGTATCTTGCTCAGTGTGGAGCTCTGATGGCCGCTAGGACCAGGCTGAGCTTCCAGCCAGTCGGCCAGAGTTTCGGCTCAGGAGCCAGTGACTGGCCCAAGGCTGTGCCGCAGGAAGGTGACCATCATCCCGGCAGCGGCTCTGGCACGGCTCAGCTCCAGGCCCGATGCAACACGATCCCCTCGGACGTGAGAGGCTGGCACCTCAGCAGGAGCCAAGCTCGGAGAGGTTAAGTGACTTTTCCAAGGTCACACAGGGAGTGGACTCAGGCACACTGGAGCCTGGGCTAATTCCCATGGGACTCGTGCCAGGTAGCTGGCTCCCAGTGGCCACAGGTGCCTCCCAATGCCCGGGCAGGGTGGGGTCCCGCCTGCACCCCCCGCAGGCTCACGCCCTCCGGACCCTCTGGGACGCGGGGGCTATTCCTGGCTGTCCGGGCTCATCTGTGCCCTGGAAAACTTGACAGCAGTGTGGAAAGCTGCAGCTGCCCGCAGGGCACGCCAGGCTCTTGTGCCCTTTGCACTGGAATGGCGGGGTGGGGGGGTGGAGTGGGGGGGATGCCATTTGCTCAGCTGCTGGGGCACGGGGCCAGAGGGGCCTGGGGGGCAGCGTGTATGGTGTGTTCAGCCCATAACCTGAGACAGTGTGTCTGGGAGGGGCCTCGGACCCTCCTGCCAGTGTGGTGTGTGGGCCCGGAGACCTTCAAAAGCCTTTCTCCAGGAGGGACCTCAGGCCTGGGGGGTCTGGAGATAGATCAAAGCCCACCCTGGCTCCTGGCTGGGGAAACTGAGGCTCAGGGAAGGCAACTGGCTTAGCTGCGCTCTGGCCCTCCTGAAGGGCTCGGACCCGGGCTGGGCCCCAGGACTAAGTGCAGGCCTGGGTGGGGAACTCCCCAGCTGCCAGCATCCTGCGTCTGCCTTGGGCCGCGCAATGCAGGGTGGAGGGAACCCCGTATCACAGAACTTGGTGACTGGCCCAAGATCACAAAACTATCCAGTGAAAGACGTCGAGGAGGCACCGGCGCTTCGTCTCCACCTGCGGTGTCCTGTGCCCTGTGTCCCGGAGCCGGGCTGTCCCCCGCTGGGGCCTGGCCCGGAGGCCAGAGCTTGGAGCACCCCATGTCTTCCCGTGTCGCTGCCGGCCTTCCCCGGGCCCCGTCCCAGCCATCCCTGACTCAGCCCTGTCCCTTTCGTAGGGAGACCTGTCCTTCCCTGCTGGAGAGGAGCCGCAGCATGAACCGTGTGGGATAAGGAAGGAGGGGAGGAGGGGGCCCGGGCCAGGCGTACCTGGAGATGCGGCCCTTTCTCTGGACTGAGTCGTGGCCTGATGCCTGAGGCTGCCTCGGGGAAGGGGAGGGTAAGAGGAAGGATGTTCTTACAGGTGAAGGCCACACCCCACCTGCCTCCCCTGGGAGACCCAAGGCGGCCAGAGAACAGCTGGTACCCACGCGCTGGGTGGGAGCCACGCCTGGTCACACAGCTCACTGCGCAGTGGGGGTGGGGCCGGCCTGGTCGCTGCCCCTCCCCCCCGCCCCACGGTTTGAGACGGGAGCTTGGGGACGGCACAAGGTGGGGGGTGGGGGGCAGAGAAACCGCTGCGGCGGGTTCAGCCCGGCGCTTGCGGCAGGAACCGGTGGAGACCACGACTGAGACCTCCGCTGCTTTATTGTCCCCGCTCTGCCAGAGCACAGCCGGGCAGCGCTCGGGGAACCACGTGTGCTCGGTGTGCATGCAGGCGTGTGTGCACGGACAGTGCCCGCTCGCGACGTGTGCGCGAGTGGGGCCGGTGGAAGGTGCTGCAGGGGCGCGGAGGCGAGTCGCGGTTTCCAGCAAAGGTCTCGGCGGCCGGCGGAGGAGACGCAGCGCGCAGCCGGCACCGCAGGTCACGGTGGCTGCAGGGCCCGGCCGTCCGATGTCACTGCTCAGACCCGCAGGGCGCACACCGCTCGAGGAGGAGCAGGTGCCGGGAAGCAGGGGGGCCAGGCTCCACGCTTCAGGCCGAGCCGGGGTGCAGGGCCGCTTTGCATGCCGGGAGCTTCGTGTCTTAGGGTCCACACACCACGGGCGCCGGGCCACTTCCAAGGCCCGCGGGCTCGGGTGATCCTGGGTCTGTGTACGTGCGGGGTCGCAAGGGGGCTGGCGTGTTCCGGAAGATGGGGAGAGCTGAGGGCACCCTACAGCCTGAGGTCCAGGCTGGGGAGCAGCCCCTTGGTCTGAAAGACAAAGAGCACACTCTGCGGGGCCGGAATGTGCCTGTGGGCAGCCCCCGGGCCCTCTGCGGGGAAGGGGTGTATGGAGGGCCCCGCGGTGTCCTGGCCGAGGTGGGCCCTCAGACTGCAGCAGTGTGGCCCGAGACGGTGCCAGTGTCAGGCTGCGTCGGGACGTCCCCCAGGCTCATGGCGCCTGGGGTCTGGACTGAGGTCTCTGCACCCCTTCCCCGTTTCTCCACTTCCCTCCATTCCTCCGCCACCTCCTCTGCACCACTGTCCTCAACACCGCTGTCTGTCCTGTCCTACAGCTCCGGCTTCCTCCGGTCCCCAGCCTGCAGCTCGTGCCATTCAATCTGCCCTTCCCCCGCCAGCCCACAGGCCCTGCTACGCTGCCAAGTCCTCCCTCCCCCCACCATGGCGGAGACCCCTCTGGTCAGCCCTTGAGTGGGCCTTCCTTCCCAGGCTCCTACCCCCTCTCCTTTCTCCCACATCCCCCCACCAGGGTCCCTTTGGCTGCTACTAAGGTCGCAAAGCAACATTCTGTTCCGGGACACGGAGTTCCCCTGGGCCCACTGCGCTGGCACAGGTCGGTTCCTCGGCCTCGACCCCGCACCCCCATGCTCCCTACGTCACCTCCACCTTCCCTGGAAGCCTGCCTCTGCTTTCGGCTCCCTGGGCACTGATAACTCCGAGGCAGTGCCTATCACAGGTTAGGTGACCGCTGATGAGACAGCCTCTCTGCCCAGCACCCGCCCCGGCCCAGCACGCCCCCAGGACGGGCTCTGTGCCTTCTGTCATTGTCCCACCAGCCGGGGGGACACAGCTGAGCCTCTGTGGCCGTGAACAGTGTGCGGGCTCAGGGCCGGGGCGTGAGTCTTCCTGGGGCCGAAGCATCAGGGAGCGGCCTCCCCAACACTGGAGCTGGGGAGGCAGAGGCTCCCACTGCAGGGAGCAGCCCAGGGCCCCTCGCTCTGGGACACGCAGGGGCGCAGCCGCGGAGAAGAAGAAGGCAAAGTGTCTGTGGTCTTGGCCTTTCGAGGCAGCCCAGGAGCCCAGGCCTGGGTGCCGTGTGGGGGTGAGGGAAGGGGCGGCCCTGGGGGAGGAGGGGCAGCCGGGGCCTGTACACGACATTTCCAGTGTCCCAGAATCCAGCCTAATCGCGTCCACATTCCGTTCCATAGCACTTGGGCCGACAGCTGGCTTTCCTCAAATAGCCACAAGCGTCCTGGGTGACATCCCAATCTCGGGGCACTCTCGGGGAGCACGCACATAGCTTGCGCCCCCCCGCCCCGTGTGCCCAGCCTCCGGCGGGGAGAAGCCCCGCCACCTCCACTCGGTCACGCTCAGCGTAAGGCAGCCACGCTGGGGAGCCCAGTCCCGTCTGTGGGGCACCGTGACGGAGAGCAGGTGCCAGGCACACGGCCACACACGCTGGACCACACACGGGCACACACAGTACAGTGTCCCAGCACAGCACAGCCGCCGCCACCGGCCCACAGCGCCACACGGACCCGCTCAGGGGCGGTCTCGGGCCACCTCAGGCCTGCCCGGAGCATGTGGGGGGCAAGGGAGAGCTGGGGGTACGGAGAGGGGCGACCCCAGCAGGCACTGGCCCACCCACGGACACAAGCCCCCTTTCCTGGCCACTCCCTGCGCTTCTTGGCCCTTGTGTCCAGTCACCTTCCTGGGGTCCTCGGCTCCGCACCCCTGGGGCTCAGGAGGGGCAGCGGCTTCCACGTCTCCCAGGCCCTGACTGCGGGGCGTCCGGCCGCTGCCTCGCCGGGCAGCGCCCCACGTCGCGGACGCCTCCGTGTCTGTCCAGCCCTGGGGAGGAGGGAGTTGCTGTGAGGGGGCCCAGGCCTTCCTCCCTCCTCCCAGCACCGTCCACGCGGGCGAGGCCCTGACACTGTCTGCGGGGTTGCTGGTCACCATGGCTGCCAGCTGTGAGCACACGTGTGTGTGCACATGCACCTTCTAAACATGGGGGGGGGGGGTTGTGACAGTCTCGACCTCTGTCAACACACAAGACTCACCCCTGATGGCCCTCTTCGCTACAGTGGTCCAGGGAAGGGACCTCGGGCAGCTCCTCCCTCAGCCCCTCGGAGACTCCCAAGGATGGGGCTGGCGGGAAGGCCACAGTGCGCCCGGTAGGCACCATGTGGGGGAGCCTGAGTGTGGCTGGAGACAGGAACCCCCGGTGCAGGGAGCTCCCTGGGGACATCGGGGAGCCACATCCCCGCCAATGGGGACATGTGAGCTGGACACGCTAAGGCCTTGCTGGTCCCAGGCCCTAGGGAGGCTGGTGGCCCCCAGGACTGACCACCACTACGGGTCTGTGTCCACCCGCAGGCACCTGAGCCTCCGAGGCAGAGGCGGCTGTTCCAGCAGAGGACACAGAGGGTCAGAGAGGGCAAGTGGCCTGCCCAAGCTCACACCGTCAGGACATGACAGAGCTGAGGCTTGAGTCCTGGCCGAGTGACCCTTCCTCTGCACCCCGGGGGCCCTCCGAGCTCCCAGGAAGAGGGGTCAGTGCTGAGAGCGAGGCCCTGAGCTAGTTCCTGTCTGTCTCTGGAGGCTCGTCTGGGACCGGAAACGCTAACCTGGCCCATCTGCGGCTCTGAGGGGCAGGGCCAGCTGGAGGGAGGTGGCCTGGAGTTGGAGACCCACGGCCAGTCCCAGCCTTGCTGCTGGGCGACCCGGGGCCAACCCGGGGCCAACCCGCTGCCTCTCTGGCCGGGCCCTGCCTCTCTGGAGGACGTGCGTGAGAACTGTGGGGCGGGGAGGGGCTCTTCCTGCCGCTGTCCTGGGTCCTGAGGGTCCTTGCAGCCCTGCCCAGCGCCTGAGGCTGGCCACCGTCGAGGGCCCGGCTCCTTACCATCTCGCTTTCCGAGCCCAGGGACGCCTGCCGCCGCCGGGAAACCCAGCTGAGGTCCGCGGCCTGGCTGCCCAGGGTGGACTGGTAGCTGGGGTACGGGCCGGAGCGCTGCCTCGAGATGCCCAGCAGCACGCTCAGGCAGGGCAGGTGCTGGGCTATGGCCATTCTGCAGGGAGGGCACACTGGTTAAGGCAGAGGGGTGGACAGACAGACACAGGAGACGGAGATGGCGGACACATGGACACAAGACCACGGGAAACGGAGGTTCGGACACTGGGTTATGAGGACAGACGGTCAGATGCTGAGGTGTGGGAATGGACAGACATGCTGGGGCCGCGGGCGTGGAGGGAGAGCCTTCGGTCGCAGGTCCAGCCGGGCGCCTCACTCCCGCCACATCCCTGCCGATGGGCCGTCTGAGCGGGACACGCTAAGGCCTTGCAGGTCCCCGCCGGTGAGCTACTAGCACCACCGGGCAAAGGAAGCCCTGAGGCCCTCTCCGCAAGCCAGTGGGCTGGGTTCTGTCAGCGGGCGCCCTCTGGGCCCAACCCACCCCCAGCCTCTCTGCCAAGGCCCTTGGAGGTGAGCCCTCCCTGCTGGTCTCTCCAGGTGGGCGCCCTCTGGAGGCTTCTCCTTGTAGGGGCAGCCCTGCTGATCGGCGTCCTGGCTGCCTTTCGGCTCGGTTCCAGAGGCACCTAGTTCGGTATGGACGCTGCCTAGGGAGCCTGCTCCCCCTCCAGCTGAGCCTTCTGGGAGCACGGTCACACCTGCTGCAGGCCCCGCCCACTGTCACGCGGGTCCCAGCTGCTGGAATCCCCCCAACGCGTGCACAAGAGACAGGAGAGAGGGTGGCCCCTGCGCGGCCCCAGGCCCAGGCCCTCCATGCCCGTGAGGGTGGACCTGGGGCCTGGGCTGGGCCTGCGGGAAGGTGCACCTGTACTTGGGGTGGGTGATGGCGTAAATGATGGGGTTGTGGATGGCAGAGGCCTTGGCGATGACAGCTGGCACTGAGTTCATGTAGGGCGTCAGGACGTGCGCGTACCTAGGAGAGAGAAGCCTGGTCCTCCCTGGGCACTCACCCGCTCGCCTCTCAGGGATCGTCTTCCTCTGGGCCAGGCCCTGCCAGGGGCACACCAGCCGGGCCCACACCCGCCGGGCCGTCAGTCCACCGGCAGAACTGTGACCCCGGGGGGCTCTGATCTTGGGTGACAGGGGACCCGGAGAGCAGCTGGCAGGGGTCTGGGAGGAAGACGTGCCGGGCTGGGGGTTCACTGTCCCCTGGAGCCTGTGCTGCCAGCAATAAACCCTCTTCGCCCCGCGACCCTGGTCCTCTGCTCAGCACTCCCCACACCGCACCCCTGACGCCCACCGCGTCCTGCTCTGAGGGTGACTGCACAGGCGGGCCCGGAGGAAATCGCTCTTGTACAGAGACGATCTCACCCCCAAACACTCCCAGGGGCTAAGAGCTCTCTGCCTCCAAAGCGCTTCTGAAGTCTGGCTGCATCCGCACCCCTGCCGGTGTCAGAGGCCCCGGGCCCTCGCCCCCCGGGCGGGAGGCCAGCGGAGCCCCGGCTGTGAGCCCAGGTGAGGAGGAGCCCGAAGCTCAGGGACAGCCAAGTACCCCCAGGCGGTCTGGCAGGCCCTCCGGCCCTCACAGGCACTCAGTCCAAACCCAGGGTGGCCCCGAGCTCCCCAGCACGCGCCCCAGGAACCGGCGGCCCAGGGCGCGGGGAGCGTCTCACCGCAGTGGGAGAAGGCTGTGAAGCCAGGGTCAGGGTGGAGACAGCTGGCGTGGGCGGGGTGCTGAGGCAGAGGCTGCCCAGGGCCCCCTTAGCCCCCACGGCCCCTCGGCCCGCCGCTCACCCAGCGAAGGCCATCAGGGCCACGGTGGAGTAGGGGGCCCAGGACAGCACGAACAGGAGGATGACCAGCAGCACGATCTTGGCCATTTTCCACTCGGTCTGCAGCCGCTGCTGCCGGGGCAGTCCACTGCGGCCCTCGCCGGCTCCGAAGGTCTGCAGGGCCCTGCGGAGGGGGCAGGGCCTGGGTCTGCCTGCACGCGGGGTGCAGTGGCTGCCAGGGCCGGGGCAGTGCAGGCAGCCCTGCCACCCAGGAGGTTCTCCGTTATGTCCAGCTGAGCTGCCTCGTTGGGTCCCACCTGCGGCGTCTCCGCTGCCCCCAGGCCTCCTGACCTGCCTACACGCCCCACCGCGGGAAGACCTGTCTCCTGAGACTTCGCTCGGTACCAGGCTGTGCTGGTCTCTAGAGCCTGTGGCACAGGCACAGGTGCTCAGCTGGTCTTTGCCCGTCTGGAGCTGTGGGAGCCCAGTGGTGGGTGCAGATGGGAGCCTCTGGCGAGGACAGGCCCCTCCCGCCGAGCCCTCCTCCACGCCCACTCGTACTGGCCGGTCTCCCGAATGGCCCTGAAGATGAAGACGTAGCAGTAGATGATGACGAGCAGGGGGAGGAAGAACACGAAGCAGAAGAGCAGCATGGTGTAGGCGCGGACCGATGGCGTGAAGCTCATGTAGTCCCAGGAGCAGGAGGTCAGCAGCCCCTCCGGCACGTAGGCACCTGGGGCCGGGCGGCAGGCTCTCAGCGGAGGGGCCGTGTGGCTCGGGCTCCTCGCCTGGCCCACTGGCCGCAGCCCCGCCCAGGGCAGTGAGGGAGCTGGGTACCCAGAAGGGGGCTTTCCCAGCCTGTTCTGGGGGACAGCTGGCAAAGCCCACTGCTGCCCACTCCTGCCAGTGTGGAGCAGAGACCTCCCCGGAGCCCCAGGGTCCTGCCCAGAAGGGCTGGTTCTTTGCTGCTAACCCTCCTGCCTGCTGAGGCCTCAGCCAACCCTGCCTGTCAGACTCACTGCAACTCAGCGTGAGACGCACCCATCCCTTCCTACCACCCAGGAACAGCGTGGCCGCCCCCCGCACTGCGAGATGGGAGCCCAGGTGACCCTCTGGTCGCTGAGGAGGCAGCTTCAGTGTCCCCTGCTATGAGCCACGCCCCCTGGATGTCCATCTGCCGTGAGGCTCAGGCAGCCCCCGACTCTCCTGACCTGCCCGTGAGCACGCCCCTCCCAGACCGCCTTCCTCTCCCCCAGTTTCCGCAGCCCACTTACTCCAGCCAAAGAAGGGTGGAAGGCTCCAGGCCAGGGCGTAGAGCCAGACACCCAGCAGGACCAGCGCCGCCCGCCTCTTGGACACCACCCCAATGGCGGTCAGTGGGCGCGTGATCACCAGGTATCGGTCCAGGGCGATGGCCGTCAGGGTGATCATGGAGGTGATGCCAAAGAGAGCCCCACAGAAGGCATAGAACTCACAGCCTGTGGACACAGCTGCCTGACCTCAGCCCTTGGCAGGAAGCCCATCAGAACCCCAGGGGAGGGAGGGTCTGGGGCAGCAGGTACTGGGCTCCTGCCCTCACCTCTCCAGCATGCAAGCCGAGCCCCTTCCCCCTGCCTACTCGCCGTGGAGGCTGGTGGGGGCCTCCGGACTGGAACCCGAGTCTTCCCTGTGGCTAACTCGCGGGATGAGGGCAGCTACCCACTCTGCTAAGGAAGGGCATCACCTCCTCCTCTGAACCACCCTGCAGCAGGGATCCCCGACACACCCTTCCTCCTCCCTCCAGCCAAAGGGAGCCCGAGTGTCTACCTGCCTCCCCAAAGAGCCACCGCTTGTAGAGGCTGCTGGCGAAGACCACGGGCGCCTGGGTGAAGGTCATGAGGAAGTCGCTGATCGCAAGGTTGATGATGAACATGTTGGCGGGTGTTCTCAGTCCTCTGCTTCTGTGAGGGTGGAACGGTCAGAAGGTGCTTCTAACGGGGAGCTGCCTCCACTATGGGTGCAAACGCACACGCACATGCACACACACACACATGCACGCACACACACATGCACACACACCTATGCACACAATCCACACGCACACACCTATGCACACAATGCACGTGCACACACGCGCATGCGCACACGTGCATGCACACATATGCACTGCACTCGTGCACACGTGCACATGCATACACACGCGCGCACACACACGTGTGCTCTCAACAGACACGAACAGCTGGGCCATCCCACTGCCCGGCGAGTACCAGCTGAACAGCTCTGGTGCCCAGGAGGGGGGCTGAGAAGCGAGGCCCTTGTTTCCTGGGGTTCACTCCGAATGCAGGGGTACAGGGCCTGTCCCAGAGCTGCCGCTCAGCCCGGCAGAATCTGGTTCTGGTGTTGCCCACTCCTCACCCAGCTCTCTTCTTGGACCCAGCTCACTGCTCTGAGCCCCTTCTGAGCGCCTTCCCACGTGCCTCGGGCACCCTCCTCAGCCCTTCCTCCAGGCTCCTGGGCCGGGCCCTGCTCGTCCTGTTGTGTCTGCATCCCTCACCCGCAGGGCTGGCAAGGGGCAGTGGCGTTGGCGACTTCCCCAGCGGCAGCCCTTTCCCCCCCTTGTCCCCTGCAGGCGTCCATCTCTGTGTCCACCCCACTTTCCAGATGAGAACACTGAGGCTGCCACTTGTGATGGGGGTCGCTCCAGAACATGAAACTCAGTCCGCGGCCCAGCCAGGGTTCAAGCAGACCTGCTGGGCACTGCACACACCCACGCGATCGCTACATCGGCTGCGCAAAGCCCGGCTCCATTCTGCAGACAGGACACCCGGGCTCCCAGAGGACGAGCGATGGCCACAGCCATGTCGGCCAAGAGGCCAAGAGGGCTTTCAGCCTTGCCAGGGCAGGTGCGGAGGAAGGGGTGCTGCTGGGGGCTCGGGCATTCAGGGCCCGGGCGCCGGGCTGCTCTTTGAGGCAGACGGAGGGTGCCCCTGGCAGGTGATGGTGGAGGAGATCTGACAGCAAGCGGAGTGGGCAGGGACTGAGTCCTCGGGAGAACCACCCTCGCAGAGGCTGTACCTGGGGCCCCGTTGGCATGTGCCCTGTGAGCTGCCTGGACTATTTTGGGGCCCCTTCCCTGAGCTTGGAGACTGAGGCCTGGGCCTGAGACCACGGAGGGCTGAGCCTGGCCTCACTGCCCAGGCTCAACAGTGCCCTGGCAGAGTTGGCGCCAGCATTTCTGTCCTGGGTGCTGCCCGGTCTCTGCGCGGCTGGCTGCCCTCCGTGCCCAGGCACCTGCAGAAGGTGTAGATGACGGTCAGGTTGCCCAGCATCCCCGTGAGGCCCACCAGCAGGATCACCGTGCCCAGGGCGTAGTGGGCGTGGTCCGGGACATCAACTGTAGGGAAGGAGACCCAGGCGGCAGCCTGAGCCCCGGCTGCCTGCAGAGAGACGGAGAAACGCGGCATCTCGTTATCCGGTCACGTCTGGTAGCCCCGAGGAAAAGGGGCTCAGGCTCCCGAAGGGCGGGGTGGGGAGCTGAAGCGCTGGGCGCAAAGCTTCACCCACACGGCCAGCGAGTGGCTGAGCAGAGGGAAACGCCGGTCTCCCGAAGTCGAGCCCCAGCTCCTGCACCGTCGCACAGAGGCGCAGGCTCCCAGGGGTGGGCTCAGATCACCTGCGGGAGGCTGGGGAGACAGACTGGCACGTGCCTGCAGCATGGCAGGACGGCCACCTCTGCAGGGGAGAAGGCAGACCAGCTCTTGGTGGTTCCTCTCTGCTACCTGGGACCTGTTCCAAGTGCTCAGACAGCAATGATATTCCCGGACCCTCGATGCGGGTGGTGGAGGGGGGAGCCCTCTCCCCTGGAGTCCCCCCCTCCCAGGACGGGCACACGATGGAGGGAAAGAATGTCCCGTTAGAAAGAAGCTCAGATCTCCCAGGGTCACTGAGGGGGATCAGGACCCCGAGAGGCCAGTACAGAGATTTCAAGATACCTCCCTTGCCCAGCCGCTGTGGCTCAGTGGCTGAGCATTGACCCACACACCAAGAGGTCACTGGTTCAATTCCTGGTCAGGGCACACGCCCAGGTTGTGGGCCAAATCCCCAGTGTGGGGGGTGGGGTGCAGGAGGCTGCCAGTTAATGTTCTCTCTCATCGATGTTTCTATCTATCTCTCCCTCTCCCTTCCTCTGTCTTTAAAAATCAATAAAGGAAAAAATGAAAATGACAAGTAATAAAGACACCTCCCTCCCCAGCGCCTTTCGGGGGGTGGCTGTTTCTATCCTGCCTCTATAGCTGCAGGAGCCACCCCGCCCTGCCCAGAGCCCAGGCCAGCAGTGGGGTCCTGAGGGCACCCTCTGCCCTCCCAGTTGATGTGGGCTTGGTGGGTATGGCCCCGGGGCTCGGGCTAGAATGAAGGAGGCCGCAGAGCGCCCCTAAGGCCTCGCTCCGGGCTGGAGCAGCCCGGAAGCCCAGAGTGAGCCCTCTCCTCTGGAAGGCTCCACGGGCACCCATCCATCCTCAGGGAGGGGTGAGCGCACCGAGGGCAGTTTGCGGCATTCCGGCCCCTTGTCTTTCAGGGCTACCTTTCTGTCCCTTGGCTGCTCCTCAAGGAAGAGTGTCGCCCACGCTCCCCTCTAGCGGCTTCTCTGAGGGCAGGCTCAGAGGTGTCCAGCGAGGTGCCCAAGGCTCACAGCAAGGCACCGCCTTTCCATCTCCCTATCGATGGCCCTGTGTGTCCCAGGACGGGGACCAGAATGGAGAGAAGGCTGTGTGCCGACGGACGCTCTCCCCAGCTTACCGTGGGACTGACGGGCAGCGGTGGGTCCAGGCTGGAGGTGCTGCCCCGGGAGCCGTCCCAGCTGCTGGGTGACACTGGGGTGGCTACGCAGCCAGGCTCGTGGGCGGGGTCCAGTGGGACTCTTGGCGCCGAAGGAGGGTTCATCCTGAGATGGAGGGGTTTTTCCTTGAGCCCAGAGAGAGGTCGGAGCACGGGCACTCAGGGTGTGAGCTGTGGCCAGTGCCCCAGCACCCCGCTCAGTCTGTCAGCCGCCTCGTGTGCAGCCAGCGTGGACCCAGCTCGGGGCGGTGGCTGCTCGGCGTCCAGTGAAGCACGAAGGAAAGAGTGTCACAGTCAGAGCGACTCGGCCACAAGGTCCGTCCCCCTAAGTACCAGGGCTGGGAGTGCACATGCTCAGTGGCTCCGTGAGACCGCCCTCAGACAAGGTCCCTGCGGATGGCGCATGTGTGTGTGTGTGTGTGCGGGTGCGAGTATAAGTGTGTCAGTGCAAATGTGTGCGCGCGTGTATATGCGTGCATTGTGTGAGCATGTGTGTCAGTGTGTATGTGAGCATTTGTGTAGGTGTGTGAGGGTGTGTGTGTGAGTGCGTGTGTGGGTGTGCGTATGTGTGTGAGCGTGTGTGTGTGTCAGTGTGTGTGTGAGCATTGTGCATGTGTGTGTGAGCGTGTATGTGTGTGTGTCAGTGTGTGTATGTGTGAGTGTGTGTGAGCATCTGTGTATGTATGTGTGTATGTGTGTGAGTGTGTGTGTGAGTGTGTGAGTATCTGTGTATGTGTGTGCACGTGTATATGTGTGTGTGAGTGTTTGAGCGTGTGTATGTGTATGTGAGCATCTGTGTATATGTGTGTGTGTGTTCGTGTGTGCACGTGTGTGTATGTGTGTGCGTGTGTGTGTATGCGTGTGTATGTATATGTGTGTGCACGTGTGTATGTGTGTGTACGTGTATGTGTGTGTGCACGTGTGTATGTGCGTATGTGTGTGTGTGTGAGAGAGAGAGTGTGTATTTCAGAGGACAGTGCCAGGCTCAGGCTCCTGGACAATGGGCAGAGTCTTTGTCCTCCCCCCTCACCCAGCTCTTCCTTCCTGAGCTCATCAGGGGGCCTCTGCCCCCTCCCTGAACCCCAGGGCTGTCCAGTGGGCAAGTGAACCTGTGGGGCCAGCCTCGCCCTCGGCACGGGGTGCCCCAGCTCACACCCAGCCCACGCCAGCCCCTCACATCTCACGGCCACACAGAGCCGAGACTGGGCCGAGATGAAGGAGCTCAGAGCTGAGCCAGGACATGCATGCGACCTTCCAGTCAGGGTGAGATTAAACCATGAAGCATTGCTGCTTGTTGTTTTCTTATAATAAAATTTTTAATGCAAGTACAAATGTTAAAAAATCCAACAGAAATGCAGAGTCGGTAGAGACCTGGGAGCTCCCGCTGGCCTGCAGTTCTGGCCCCGAGATAAGTGAGTGTCAGAAGAGGAGAGGGGACCCGGCAGAGGGGTGGTGCCGGAGCTGGGGACACACAGTTTCCAGGGCGTCTGCTGCTTCCGGAAACGTCCCACTTGTGAGCCGTGTCCTGAGGCCCAGAGCCGGGATTCGTGGAGCTGTGTGTGGAGAGATACACCACCTCCTATTCCGAGGTCCCCCCAGTCTTCAGTTTTCCTAGGGCCGCAGATTTGGGCTCGGGGCGGCTGCACCCACAGGGCAACTTTCGGCTCAGCTGTGCTTTCCTTGGTGTCCCAGGTCTTGAACTCACAGAGGTCCCCTTGGGTGGTCGGTGAGGCTGAGGGGCTGGCTTGGCTTTCTCTCCTTTAAGCCCACCGCGGACTTGCCAACTGCTGGCGTTCAAATGCGGGTGTCAGACTACCCATCTCAGCTGGGAGCAATTCTGCACCCACAGAAAGTCCCATTTCGCACCCTCCCCTGTTCCCACCTCGCCAGGCGAGGAGGCAGGTGGAGGAGCTAGCAGAACACGGCAGTGTTCGCGGGTGCACGCTAAGAGGGGCCACACACCGAGAGCCACAGGCCTCCGAGCAACGCCTAAGGCTCCAGGAGCCGACTCCCCCAGCCTGGGGCTTCGGGGTCCACAGCTGTCAGTGTCTTTGCTCGTGGCTGACACCATCTCCTCCTGACCCCCGGGCTCCTCACCTCTGTGCCCCACACCTGCCTGGAGCCTGCCATCTGGGCTGGCCCGGAGGGCTGGCTGTGTGGGCAGCCTCAGCCTCCAAGGACCGAGGGTTGGACTGTTGTCTAGGGGAGCCCCTGGCTTTCCTTTGCTCTCCTCAGACCGGGTGACACCTGCCCTCCAGGCACCCAGCTGTGTCCCTGCCCCCAGCCCCTCTGCTCCCCACTCTGCCGCCTGGCTGTCCCACCAACAGTCCACGAGAGGGAGCCTTTGACATGCCGCCTCCACCGCATTGTCGGTTTGGCTCAAACCCTCATACAAAAGTTTAAAACAACAAACCAAAACACCCGTCCCAGGAGTCTTGTTCCGCCCAAGAATCTCAGTGCAGGGGGCTCCGAACCCTCGTCGCCCTGTCCCCACCCACCCCACCCCCCGCAGAGGCAGGTTGGTCCCTCTACCAGCACAGCCAGGGGGCACGGGGCTCCACTCTGAGCCAGCCCCTGGCCCCTGTGCGCCCGGGCCCCTGAGCGGATCGCAGGGCTGGCTGCTGTCGGGCTCCTCGCTCTCCCTTCCTCCCCACCCTAAGCCCCTGTCACACCGCAGCCCTGACCTGCTGGGACGCACATCCCCACCCGCTTAACCCTTTACAGCCTCCACTGCTCTTCAGTCAGCAAAGCCCGAAAGTGGCGCAGTGGGTGGGGGAGCACAGCGGTGTCACTGGTGTAAGGGGTGAGACGTGGGCTTTGTGGGGGAACCGAAACAGCAGGGTCAGCAAGCAGAGGCCTGCTGCCCCCCTTGGTGTCTGTGCACGGGCCAGGCTGCCGGCACACCCGGGGACCTGCCCTGCTCCTGCCCTTTTTCATGCAAGAGCAGCCAAGCCCGGCGCCAGGCAGTCTGGGCGTGGCTGCCAGCTGAGCGCAGAGGTGTCGGTAGGCACGGCTGCCAGCACCCGCAGGCCTGGCTGGGTCCTGCCACGGGGGAGGGGAGGCCTGCTGGGGGGTCCAGTTCAGGGGCAGCCCCTCTTGCTGGGCGAGCAGGAGCCAGCTTGGTACCTGCAGGCGGAGCTCCCAGCCCAGTCACGGGGAGTCCTCGCTGCTCTGGCCAGACTGGCCTCTCGTCCAGAGAGTACACGCTGTCCCTGTCACCCAGCCCTGCTCGGGGCCTGAGTGCAAACACCACCTCTGCAAGGTGTCAGGGCAGCTGTCCTGGGATCCCGCTGCGCACAGCCTGCTGTCCATCGGAGCATGCACCAGCGGTGTCATTGACAGCGACTGTCATCCGGTTGTGTCTGTCTCCATCTCTGGGCCACAAACAGGTCTATTTGTTTGACCTCTGGGGCTCTGCATGTTGTTTCAGGGAATGACAACCTACCGGGTCCTTGCTCCCCAGGTGTGGCCACAGCAGCGCCTCTGGAGCTTGTTGGAGGAGCCGTAGAATCAGGTGACCCAGTCAGCACTCGGTGGGACAGGTGCTGGTCTAGACTCTCCGAGGCTGTAGGGACTGGTGACAGGTGTGGGAGCCAAGCTGAGGGCACCTGAGGCCACCCAGAGACTAGCAGCAGCAGGGCGCACTGCCACGCCCACGCCCACGGTGGGTGGACAGCAGTGGGGTGCTCGTTGCAGGGGTTGGGCTGCCCAGCAGGGTGCAGAGATGCTTCCTGTGAGTGGGAGCTGGAGCCTCGGTGGGGACGCGCTGCTGGCAGAGTGCCAGGCGAGCAGGACGCTGGGGGTGGGCTCCCACGCCCCTCCTCCTTGGTCTCCTGTGTCCTACTGATGCCTCCCACGGCCAAACCTACTCGGAAGCCAGAGGCAGGGGTCTTGAGAGATGTGATTCCCGGGGCAGGGAGCAGGGCAGGGTGATGGAGCCCCCACCTTATCCCTCCACCGCGCCCCCACCTGCCAGCACCCAGCGTGGGTCCCCCTCCCGGCCAGCAGGGCAGCCTTCCCGTCCACCTGGGTGCTTTCGCTCCTGGTCTCCTCACCCCACCCAGGGGCTGCTCCTGGAGGGATGGCGGAGCCCTGGGTGGGCAGCGGTGCCCGCGCTCTGACTGGCCTCCCTCTGCTCAGCCTGTCCCGGGAATCTGGGAGATCACACTGGTCCCTCCACCGCCGCACACCTGCCACGCCAGGGAGATCCGAAAGGGCGACGTGCTCCGCGTGCCAGGGCCCTTGCCCACGCGTGTGCCCACGCTCTCTGCTCCCCGCGCCTTGCTGCACGGCTGAGTGGGAGCCGCTGCCCAGCCCCCCTGGAGGGAGCGCCAGGGCGCAGGGATGCCCTGCCCCCGGGGGCGCAGAGGGCGCAGTGTGGTCAGCAGCACGTGTGAGCAGCGCAGCAGCGGGCCCTCCGCAGACAGGTAGCGCCCCCTGCAGGACTAGGATCAACCGGCCTCCCGAGCACTGTCCCGGCCCAGCGCTGACTTGACGCCCAGGCTCTCGGAGCCCCAGGATCCCTGTCCTTGGGGGAGAAGTCCTGGGAGCCCTCTTGAGAAAGCTGATGGCAAAGCCGGGCAGGGCCCTGGCCCCGACCGCCCAGGGCCCCGAGGCGGGCCCCGCCCTCCAGCCTGCCCAGCAGGGGACGCTGTAACGCCTGCCGCTCCCTTGCCGTCCTGCCTGCGGCTGGGACGGTCCCTCACCCCGGGGCTGGCAGCCGCCTGGTTACCCAGACACTCCCGGAAAACTAGGAGCTGTTGCCCAGGGACTTTTCAATGTCTCAGCCGCATCCTCCTGCAAGCACCTGACCAGGGCGTACCTGGCCCTCTCCCGGAACCTGCTCCGTTTCCCACAAGCCCTACCAGGACGGAGCTTCCCTCCCGTGCCTGAGGGCGAGGCCGCCTGCAGAAGCTCGGAGACTCCTTTCCACGTGCCCCACAGTGCATCCCTGTCCTCCGGAGCCAGCCAAGTGGCCCGTGGTCCTGTTACTGTCCCCAGAGGCATCTGAGGTCCTTTGGTCCCTGCAGCCCACCTCTCTCTCCGTGGTCTCCCATCCTTACTGCCCACTCCAAGGTCCTCCCACTGACTCCCTGCTGTGCACAGTGGGGCTGGAGGGGGACAGGATGGGGCCTGGTCTGCAGGCCCTGAGGGACTGCTCCCTAGCCCCCTAGCGCCCACACTGGGGCACGGGGACTGGGGGCCGGGACCACA